TACATTCGTGTTGTAGTTGTTTTCGTGTTGTTCTTGTTGTTGTTGTTGCATTTTACGTTGCGAGAGAGTGCATCACATATTGCGTTCAAATTGAGTTACATTTAAGCATTTTCCCATTGGAGTTGCAATGTTTTCAAATATGCACATCGACGTCGTCGTCGACTTTGTCCAGCTGCTCTGCCAGGATACCTTCGGGTTGCCTTCATCCTTCGCAAAACACTCATTGCACATGTGTACTCGTACCTAGAATATAAAATGCTTATTTGATTGCAGAGGGGGACACAATAAAAACAATGCAAGTATAGTATTAGAAACAAATGCGTATAATTAAATTGACTTACAGAGAGCGAAAATATTTGGACATCATGCCAGAATAGCCACGTATGTTTCATTTCCAAATTGGTAAAGGAGAAATAGTTCACCTCTGTCTTTCAGAATACAAAAACATTTTAAAGTATTACACAACTTAAGGACCTATTTGTTCTATTTATTTCTATTTACACCAAAACACACACTTTAGGATTCCCAACATACAGACTCCTTATACAATTTAAAATACGCAAAGCCGATCCCTTAATAGCTTTAACAGTTTAGTATCTTTCATTCTTCTGTAAAATGAATTTCCTTTCATTCAAAATACAAGTCATATTTCCAAAGAAAACTTTGGTTAGATTAGGTGAGAGCGGTAGCTAAAAGCAGTGTGATCCTGGGTCATTTTTAAATTAATTCCAACTTCCTTCTACCCGTACTTTGGGTCCCTTTTCAGCAAAAAGATTGATGAAATATAATCCTAGGACAATGTCCACAGTCCAGGATTTCATCCTCAGCTCTTAAGTGATTAGGTGTTTAGGGTATCGCGACACAAATCTGTAAATTAATTGAAATTTGTTAAACTGAAGTAAATGTTTAAATAATTTTTAAAAAAAAATGTAAATTTGCAGGATGTTCTATGTTTAATGTGTGAACTAAGGCTACGCTTTAATCTGCGACACAAGTTAAAGCCCTGCAGACATAATCGCCCGCAGCTGTGGCTAACCCAACACCTGAGCCACAATCTCCTTGTTGGCGGCATCGGCGATAACAAAGTGCTTTGCCGTCTGACTGAATACACGCGCTGGCAAAACGGTTCGAATGAACGCAAGAGAAATATTAATGCGGACACCTTATCAAAAATGGCAGCAATCAGCACGCTCAGTTAACACCTCATTACACCCACGGCCATGCCCATGCCCATGCCCAAGCCCATGCCCATGTCCATACCCATGCCGATGATAAACCAAGCCGGCCGTACCCCTTACCGCACCACCTTCGTTTCCATCATGCGAAAGGGAGAGGCAACAAAAACAGTTCGTCTTTTGGGAGGCCGGGGCGCACACGTCGAGTCCGAGGCCGAGTCCGAGTAAGAGGCCGAGTACGAGTCTCGTCGGAGCCAAGTGGCGTGTCAATTGGCCATTAACATGGGCCACCGAGTGGCCGCCAATAAATAAGAGCAAACACCTACTAGTGCCTAACACTTGCCAAATAAAAGTACAACTACAACTCGTACAACCATTCACATACTCGTACATACATACATACGTACTCCTATATAAATAGCTGTCGTTGACGCACTGACCGATGCCTCGACTGATAAGAGTGATAGGCAAACAAATTTTGCAGTGCTATTGCGGTAGGGGGTGGGGATGGAGAGGGGCGGGAGATGGGATGGGACGTACCCATATTTGGCCTTTGGAGACAACCTCTCTAAGTGGCGACTTTTGAAATCTTTTAATTGAAAGGTTTGCTGCCTCAGTTTCTTTCCTTTGCGCAAAGTTGTCCCAACTGGCCAAGTTGCCTGTCTTTTCTTCAACTTCAACGTTGGCAAGCAAAAAAATTTTTAATTAAAAAATTAAATGCGGCAACACTTGGAAATTTGTGAGAAAATTGCTCATTAAAAGTTTTCACCTGGAGAGATGCTCAAAGTAAATCTCAACACTAATTTTCTTTTCATGTAATTATGTATGTGTGGCAGCAGCAAAACGAAAAAAAATTTGCTCCTAAGTTATTTCTTTAAGCTCTTTTGAGAACAATATAGTGTGTGTGTGTCGGTTCCTAAGTGACGCACCAATGGGCGGGGCGGCGCTATAGTTGCAGACTGTCTGTACGATTGGGACAATAGTACGAATAAGTCGCAGGTGTAAGACGCGTCGCGAAGGGAATTTATTCACCAAAGCTAAATACTTTTAATGACCTACTCGCAGTTTGTTATCGATAGGCAGTCTTATCGACAAATAATGCGTTTGATTCCCCATCCAACGATATTTAGAATGTCCGTTCAAAAGTTAAAAGCACTTAGTTAGTAGTAATTCATTCAAAATAGTTTCTGGGCAAGGATTTTAAATTGACCAATTATGAACATAAATAAAATTATGTAGTTTTCGAATTTGACATGCGAAATATTTCCGCTTATTTACAAGTGCATTATTCAAAAATATTAAATATTATTATATTGTTAGTTTAAGCCTTTTTATATATTGGGTATATCTCTTAAGCTATGTTCAGATGCGCAGACAATTTGCCTACCGAAAAGTAGAAATCGCGACGGCTCATTTGCTGCATGTGTGAACGACCAATAATCTACAAGCAGATGTCTGTGGAAAATCATGCTTGCTCCGTAAGTTCACCAAATGTTTACAGCAGAGATTTGGAAAGTCAGAACACCATTCTGAGGACATTTATCGAGTCTGTCAGTCGGCATCGATAAAAATGTCAAGCAACATCGAAAACAAAGGAGCTTTCTAGCCGAATGCGATTCCGTCATCGGCTTCTAGCTAATATAGACCTGCGAGGAGACGCTCTGGTAGTGGAGTGTTATCAGGCATACCAAATGGATTGACAGGATTTCACAAAAGGAAGTGCGACGGGACACACCTCTATCTAAACCTTTCTAATTTGTTCCAACATCTTAAGTCATTAACATAATACTATGTGATCATTAAACATAATGTTGAAATTAGTTTATATATTGATGCTAAAAGTATTCAAAGTTATACCTATTAATTGTAAAATTATGGCACCAACACAGTGCGGAAAATGCCACAATTTATAGAGTTTTAATCACATAAATAACACTGTGTAATCGATATAAAAATACTCTCTAGTCTAACAACCCTATCGATATATTTAAGTAACGACAGAGCGAACCTTGTGAAATATGTACATACAAGTACTTGTATATGGAACATTCAAGTCAATCCTAGTAAGCCTTCATTTAAAGGCCAGCACCAGAAAAAAAAATTTAGAGCATTTCTAATTGTACAAAAAAAAAAAAATAATAATAATAATAAAAATGGCGGACTATACAAACTTGTTTCAGTGCCGAAAAGTGGTCGTTGTGTCTCAAGAGGGTGCTGCAAACATCAACTAGATTTGAGTCATAAGCAACTAAAATTCTCAAGAAATTTAAAGAAATTGCGGATACAATCAAGTCGAGCCCACTTGATAAGATCGAGCCCTCTGCTAGCAATAAAATGCATAGAAACAGAGACACCATGTTACACCAAAGGCAATAAAATGGCATAAATTTGAGCAACAATTAATTTTTTATTGCCTGCAGCGTTGGTTGAACTGCGCAGCAGTTATGTGATTAAATTCTGACGCATTCGACACGCCCTGCACACAATGGAGGACAACGCCATGTGTGGCCAGCTGGCGCGCCATTTTAGCAGCAGTCGGACAGTTTTATACTGGTCGGGAGCTTGGAGAGGGGGCTCTGAAAACTGCAGGCTAAATCAAAAGTGTCTGTTCGGTGTCAGTTTAATTGCAAACGTAAATTGGATGCTGTCATTTGGTACGTTTTCATTTGTTCGAAAGCTCCCAGGCCAACAAATGTCCGGTGCCGCTTCCTTCTTGCCTGCAGGCGGCGTCATGTGCGTCCATCGACTTTTGCTGCCATTTTACTGACGGACATTTCTGGCAGCTGGGCTGGGGCCATATCTGCATCTGCATCCTTGGCAATGGCATGGACATGAAATGCAAGCGTTGCACAAATCTGAGTTTTGTTAATTGGACTCATTTTAGAGTGTTGCAATTGCGTAGTCGAATACATACATATGTATCTTACACACTATATGTACATGCTTGTATTTATGTACATATGTATGTACGACCATATGGCCATATCAAAATAATATGTTTACCCTTTTCCCCTGGCAGTTTATAGACCAATCGGGTATTAGTCAACGACTTGTTAACTAAAGTTGACTACATTAACTTTGGTTCTCTATTTTTAAACTATATGTTTATAAACAAGAGTGTATTTGGTAATAATGTACCTAGCCTGTTACGTACTTTCAGTTAAGACTTTCTAGAAAAAAAAAAATAAAACGATTCAATCGATTTGCTTCTTGATGCTGATTATTTATGTATATCTACTTGCCATTAACTTGGATAGCCAGGGTTGAATTTTTTTTGGGAGATGGCAAACGACTAATTTACAAATTTTAATTAAGTAATAATTTGACTGGGACTGCTACTAAAATATCTTGCACTCAAATCCTTAATAGCTGTATTGTAAATCTAAGTTGAACACACAGAGAAAAAAAAAAAGAAAAGGCACAGAAGTGGGAAAGATTAACCGATTTGGTGAAAGGGATAATATGTGAACAATTAGGTTTTCGAATTCTGAACAGGTTCGACAAAACTCTGTGTTGGGGGAATAAAGTTAATAAATTTAGGAACTAGCAAGTGAGCTCTCTCTCTCTCTCTCTTCATTGCAGTAAAAGAATAATTTGCTTAAGTAAGAAATCCATGTGCCATGAAAAAGAGCCATAAAATGATGCGACAGTGGTCCTATTATTGTGACCAGAGCTGTATGCATAAGGACATGTTTGGAATTGCTCTATGCACCGGCATTGGTGGCAGTGTAAGCTAAAGAAATGTGAAAGCAAGGCACATGGATAGTTCAAATAACGTGAAAACGTATACAAAATGTGACTCTGAAGAAGCGTTGAAAAATGCGATTTGTTATAAATGGGTTTTAATAAAGCTGTTGCTTAAATTATCTAATGTACTATATCTATAAGTATGCATGTGTTTATCAGTCTGTGTAGAATTATTTAAGTTTCATTGACTTTAACCTCGTCCATATCAGCGTCGTCCCTCTCGTCCTTCTCGTCATTCAATGAGGGCTTAACTTCAGAGTTTAACATCTGAGTTCTCTGCTTCTGGAGCAATTCCAAGGTGTTCCAGTCAAAGACACTGTCATTGCAATACTGTAACTTGGCATACAGGTCATGGAAGAAGCGACGAGCTCGTAAATATTTGGGAGTCTCAGTGAACTTCAGGGAGCGGCAATCTTGAATGAAAATGGCGAATTCAGGCGGAAAACCGCTACATAGGTCATCCAGAGAGGTCGACAGCTTCTTCTCGGTTATTAACTCAAACTTCTGCTTCTTCGAATTTGAGACAAGACCCTGCCAGGGCAAATGGCCACTCAAAAAATACATGAGCATATAGCTCAGAGCTTCCATATCGTCACGGCGCGACTGTTCAATGCCCAGATGGGTGTTAATGGACACATAGCGTGCCGTACCAGTCAAAGACTTGCCCTCTCCGTACAAGATGTGAGTGCCAAGGGCGTTGCGATACTTCTTGGCCAGACCAAAGTCAATAATATAGACTTCGTTGCTTTTCTCACCAAGGCCCATCAAAAAGTTTTGCGGTTTGACGTCGCGATGAATAAAATTATTCTCATGCAGCATCTGCAGACGCTTAATCATCTGATCAGCCAACATAAGCACCGTTTTAATCGAGAAACGACCCCCGCAATAGTTCAAAAGATCATCTAGAGACGAGCCCAACAACTCCATTACAAGCAGATTATATTGCTTTTGGTTGAAAAAATCGTACACCTTTGGTATACCGGGACGGCCCTGGAGTGCGACGTAGAGCTTATGCTCGAAACTCAGCTGAGGATGCTGTGTATGCTTACGTTCCACCTTGACAGCAACATGCTGACCATTGCTGTGGAGCTTCGCCTGGAAGATTTCGCCAAAGGAGCCTTCGCCAATTCTGCGCACAACCTTAAAATCTTGCAGGCTGTAAGTGGTCGGTTTACCATTACCGGACTTTAATTTGTTCATTGTACAACTATATTGCAAAATCAATTACTTAATTTTGAAGAAATAAAAACAATTTTTCTTGCGCTTCGTTTTTTCCTGCAGTAACGTCAATAAGAAAAAATTCTGACCCCCTAAGTAGCTCTGTCACGTTTATCTGGTGGGGAAAGGTTGCACATCAAAATTATCGAGTAGTCAACCTTTACATTGAAATTTTATTCGAAGTTTTCAACACTGAAAATTCTACGCAATATTTATCATCCGTTTCAATGTTCTAAAGAGTGCCCGAAGAAACGATATTTTAGCATATAGTATCAGACTAATAATGGCTTTTCCAAAGGAATTCAGCCAGGTGCACCTCACCATCTCTGAGGAATTTGAGGTTATGCGCGATCAGTACGAGCAGCGCATCCAGCAGTTGGAGCGTGAGGTTTTTGAGTGCCGGCGGAATTGCAGGCGCCACAGAAGCCCAAAAGCCTCGAAGCCACCAAAAGACGACAATATGAAACATACAGACAAAGGCAATGATCAACCAACACAGCAGGAAGCCACAGAGCCCCCGACAGCTAACTATATCGAGACTGAGAACTCTCTGGTTTGGCACTACGACATGAGCGAGTTTCCATTGGCGAACGTAGGAGTGCGGCTCAAGCACAAACAGGTTTGTTTGCATGCGCACCGCGAGGAGGGCGCTAATTATTTTGAAATCAAACGAGAATTCCTCCTGCCCGCACACGTGGATAAGTCCATGCTAAGTGCCAGCATTACCCGCGGCGGTAATTTGACCATCACGGCACCCCTGAAGTCACACACTCGCCAACGTACCCAGAAGAAGTGAAACAACCGCCAACTTTTCTTAATATTACTTGCAGAATATATTTCTTTCATAAATTGTATCATTAATATTTTTTGTTATTTGTTCGAAAATATTGTGAAATAATAGATAATTTTTGATCAAATTTGTATATTCCTTTTGACTTTTAAATTTAATTATCTAATGTTCATTTTCACACAAATAATTCTTACTCATTGTTTTAGACTTTTGGTTACTTTAGTTAGCCAATGATTACTGTGTGAAATGGCTTCCTCATAACTAAAGGCCTAGTACAAAGAATGCCAATTATGTCATATTGTACGTCTGCTAGACGTGCTCTTTTGGGAATGACGTCACAATAAGCATTTTATTATTAAGACGTGTACACCAAACTCTGTTTATCTAATGAAAAGTTGTACACGAATCAGCTCTTTTCCCCTTTCTTCTGCTCTAGCTTCTGTTATGTTTATTATTTAAATAAAAATAATAAAATAAAATATACAATCTGTGCAACGGAATTGCGTCTCTTTGTGTCTCGAAATTAGAAGAACCTACAGTCAAATTTTGGGTTTGTAGATATTATACTTTCCGAGATTATTGCGTTCATACAAATATACAATACAATAGGCCTGAGTGTTACAAAACTGATAAATATTGTCACCCAATTTTTCAATTTTAACAGTTATGAAAGCTTCGGCAGACATATTTGCAGTACCTTATGAAAAGATATATAGAGAACTTTTCTGGGCTCTTTGTGTATTTATTTAATAAGATCAGTTTTAAATTATTATTTACGATTTTTTGAATTCTATGTTGTCTCCGAAAATTAGTAAAACCTTCCCCTTTCCAGAACTTTGACAGCCCTTAATCCAAGATGCTGAGCAGATTAAAGAGAACTAGAACAAATTAATACAAATAACAAGTAAATAAAAAATTATGTACTTTAATAATATAAACTACCTTTGGGGAAATGAAGCCAGTGGTTGTTGGGCTGGCGTGGATCCTGGAATCCACATTTTTAAATTAGTACTGTCATAGCATTGGGGCAGCTGGGGTGCGGCGTTACCGGTTGCGATGATCTCCTGCCCATAGGGTCCGTATATGGGGGCAGCAATTTGGCTGACAGCTGCAGCCTGGGCGTCGGCCTTTAATTGATCCAATAATTCCTGCTTCAATTCTTCGACCAGCAATTTTTTGCCTGCCAAAGCCTCGTTTTGTTGTTGTTCGGTTGACTGCGAACTGTCTAAACAGTCTGCTGACAAATTTTCAGTTCGCGGCTGCGCGAAGGGTGTGGGACGGCAGCAACAATTGATAAAGTTCGAGTTTTGTTGAGCTGTGGTTGGGGGCAAGCAGCAATTGTCTAAGCTGTTGCTGTGCTGCTGAGGTGGCGGCGCAGGGTTGGGGTAGCAAGAAGTCATGTCTGAAGTGTTGTATTGTTGTTGATGGGGATGGGGATGGGGAAGAGGTGAGCGATTGGGGTAGCAGCGCAAATCCAAGTTGTCATTCATCTGAAGGCATGAAGGCAAGCAATGTGGATAGGAACGATACATTTCTGAGGGCTCATTCGGCTGATAGTGCGATGGAGAAGGACTGCCACTTGACATAACCAGGTTGTCATTATTCTGATCTGCTGCCAGGGTTATGATTTTGTCAGGTTCAGAGCTGTGCGATATGATTGTCGGCGGCTTGGCAAGTTTGCAGTCTGTTGTGTGAATTGTGAGATGAACATTTAAATCACTGGGAGTTTTCGGCTGAATATTCGCAGATTTCTGAACGGGTGTGTGTGAATCCCTTGTGGCAGTGGCGTGGGGAACGTTTTCAAATGAAACGCTTGGGCCTCTTGCGTTCATCAATCTACCCGATTGAGTGCTGTATAGATTGGTGCCACCGCCTCGTCGCTCTGGATTATTAGTTTTGGGCCGTTGGTAGCGGTTGCGTTTATTTAACATTATATACCGATTATGGCTTAAATTGCGATCCACGTCAGCGGTACGTTTATTTCTAAAATTGGTAGGATATAGTGCTGTTGAGGCAGTCAATTTCTTGCCTCCAGGCTCGGTTGTTGAGTACTGTAAATACCCTAAGGCGCTTTTTGTATGCCTACTTGGCGTTGGTTTTGCAGTGGCTTCGTAATATATTGGATCGTCATATTCTAACGATTTGTTCTGCTTTCGAAATTTCTTTAAGTTATGTTTGGACTTTTTTAAAAACCCAGATATTTTATGTCTTAGTGATTTACGACATATATACTGGCATGCTTCTGAAAAGTCTCCCCGGCTTGGAACAGCGCCAAGCGAGGTCTGCGATTGATAGCCAGATGTGTAGGAATGGCAAGATTGCTGGCACGAAATTTTTGGCATTTCTACGCATTGTTGGGCCCGAAGGACCGGATGTGTTACTTCCTTTGACCTGTCATAGTCCCATCCCGAACCGTAGCGCACTGGAATTGGGTGGCATTGATCGTTTGGGTCGCATTTGCACTCCATTTTTTTGTACGGTATATCCCACTCATTGGGGTTTCGGGCTGGCAATTTTTCCGCACTGTTTACAACATTCTCCACAGAAGCTTCAAAAGTAATTTTTGGATGTCTACTACTTCTATGTGGTATTTCGCCATTCTCCTCTAGTAGCCTTGGGTTCGTAAACTCAATTGAACTAATTGCAGTTGATGGGGATCCTTGAATGATTGCATTTTCATTATTCACATATTGTTGAGGTGGACTAATTATGCATTGTGTCTGAGGCATTTGGTAGCTCGGCCCACAATATTCACAATGCTTGATTAGACAACTCGAACTGGCTAAGGATTTGCTGGGTCTAAGGGTCCCATAGGCGTATTCTTGTGTGGGACTGACGGGACGTTGCATCGGAGCAGGTGGATTGTAGTCCTCACTTCGTTGATATTGTATGTGCTGCGGCATATTTGTGGGTGAATATTCAAATTCCTTGGTTACACAGCCCGAGCTGACAGCTGAAAGGTTTGTGGCAGGTGGCGTTCTGTAATTTGCAGTGTTTTCATTACTGGTATAAACAAATTGTTTTGGCGGAGAAACGGAGCATTGCATATTTGACAGCTGATTAGCATATTCTTGGCTTCGCTCATGCGGAACCTGGCTTGACGGTACAGACGGATGTATATATTCGTTGGGGGCGCAGCTGGAGTTGATTGTTGTGGGGGGTCTTCGGCTTTCATTATTTTTATTGTAAATATATAGATCCGGCTGAGGAGCTGGACATGGAACCTGTGGGATTTGATTGTACCCTTCATTTCGGTGACTGGGAATGCGGTTTGGAATCGATGTTGGGGAGCATTCCTTGTCTACGCAGCCCGATGCCTGTCTTTGTGCTTCTATTTGAAAACTGGTCTGTCGCTGTTTTTTGAAAGTACATGGCACATTTTCTTGATTAGCATTATATGCATATTCATGGGAAGCTGGACTTGCTGCCTTTCCTCGCGGCCTTCTGCTGGACTTGTCATCGATTCCATAAAAACTGTTGGTCAATTGCGAAGAATCTATGTTTCGTATCTCGGCAAATTTCGCATCAGGCATCCATTGTTGGTGGCTGCCATAACAGGAATTTGCATTTATTTGATTTTGAGTTCCATAATATTGTGTGTTCATGCCACGAACAGGAATATTTGAATTACAATGCAGGCTCTTGTTGGCGTTATACATGCGGCCGTAAAATTCGCCAGAATTGTCTTCAATATGCGCATTATATTTGGAGCTCTGGTTGTTCCCAGGATTATAGTTGGTCTGATTGCATTGAGGTTGAGTATTTTGATTGGAATTGTAAAAATGTTGCTCATAGCTATAATTGGACTCTTTGTTTGGATTGTAAGGATCACACTCAACCTTGACAATATTTCCATTGTACTTCTGCTCAGCTCTGGTACTGTAGTTAGGCCCCATGCTTGGATCAGGTCTGAAATTGTAGTTGGCCTCAGTATCGTAACTGAATTGGCTTCCAGCATTCGGAAATGAATTGTAGTTAGGCTCAAAGTTGGCATCATATGAAAGCTTGTAGCTGGAGTTGTAATTCGGCTCCGTATTGGTATGCTGATTATACTTTGGTTTGAGACTCGCATTTTTCGGAATGTACCTGGGCTCAGATTTGAGATTGTACTTCGCATCCTTCTTGGGGCAGATATTGTATGTTGGTTCCACGTTCGAGTCACTATTGAGTTCATAACTGTAGTTGGACCCCTTCAACTGATTGGCTTTGAGATTAGTGTCAGTATTACGGCTATACATGGGAGCACTGTTGGCCTTGTGCTTGGAACCCATATATGATTTTGGCTTGGACTCATTTGTGGGTTTGTACTTGGAGCTATTGCGACGTTGCATGATACGAACACGATACGGGATTTCGTCGTATTTAAGACTGTTTGTTTTTGCATTGGAAGGCTGTAGATCGTCTACGCTTTCATGTTCCTCCATAGAACTCTCCTGACCATAATTGAATTTGTATGGATAATGTTCATTCATACACATGTTCCGCCAGTCCAGGTACATGTCGTTACTCAATTTGTTTTTCTTTGAGTAGATGTTGAGGGCATTGAGGGTGTCGCTGAAATCGTTAGCTTTGGCTTTCTTACACCCACCCTGGTATCTGTTGTATTTGGAGCTCGGGTTCTCGAAACTATGACTTGCAATATAAAAGATATTCGGCAGCGTCAGGGATGCACAACTTCGACTGAATGTCGACATTAGCCCTCCGCCATGATTGCGCTGAGTCCCGGTTTCTTTTACAACCGATTTGATGTGTATTTCAGGCGATTCATTGTCGAGTTCATCAGCTAAAGATAGTGTAGCTGCAGGAAAATTGCAAACAATTGAATGCAAGGGTTATGTATGGGAGCTAACATACATTTATCGCTGCGCTCCGGTTCCTTTTTGCGGTCGTCGCCGTTGCATTTTTGATTCAGAACCTTGTCCGAAAGGTCGATGTTGAAAAACATGAACACTTTCTTTGGTTTCTCCTTTTGCCCTTTGTATGGTGTTTCGTCAACCCTATCGCTGTCCACTTCAGATGACATTATGACAGCACAGACTTTCACGGATACAAAAAAAATTCTTCTAAAGCCTTACTAATAAATTTTTTAGCCCATACTAAGTTTTCTCAAATGCCAACATATTTTTTAGTGTCAGAAGAAATATGGATGCTCGGTTGCCAATACGAGTACATAAATATTACGAAAATCTATCAACTGCTATTTTAAATATCTGCTTATTTATGCTTGCGGCCTCATTGTAAATTCATTGCCATCCATTTTATCGTTAATTGCAGCATCATAAAACGTCAAAAAAAAAGTCATAAATTCGTTGATAATGAGCGAGCGGACATAATTATTTCAAGAGTGCTGGAGAATATGTTTTTAATTGCGGAAATATTCCCATCTCAAAAATAGATGTGATAATTATGCAGAGCTCTGCAAATTTCCATCACATTAAAATTTTCAACAATAGACAGTAAAATGCAGCGCCCGAATTATGAAAACCATAACTGAATGGCTGGTTGAAAGCGTGTTCAAGTGCGGAAAAGCTGTAAAATTATTGTGAAACAAAAGTAAGTGCTTTTAAGTGCATGCGTACGACAGAGGGGGGGATTTGATGATGGTCGAGGGGAGAGGGGTGGCAGTTGGGTGTGAGCTGTGACTGACAATGGTAGTGCCACCAGCAAATCAGTCGCTGAAAACTTGCTCATACATTGTGTGCTTATAGGTAATTGTGTGCTCTCTTACTACTATATATCATGTACTCGTATGTCTATTCAAAAGTAACTTCCTGTACCGTTAATTACAAGTAACTTTGGACACAATTCGCAAGCATTTCACGAAGGTACAGATCTATGTATATTTAATTTAACTACTTTATAAATACTTCATCCATACAACATATTGAGCTATGAAGGTGGGCTTTAAATATAAGATTTGGAAAACCCCCATCATTCTTAAGTTCTTTCAATTCATGAAATAGTAATTGAATAAATCTAGCTCGCATTTTTATTAACAAGTGACATGGAGCGATTTTTGGAATTTGTTCTCAATTTTTTAACCAAGTATGATTGCAATTTAGAATATAGTACGGTTAGTGGATAGTGTATAACCATAAAATATCTCTCATGAGTCAGCACAAGTGATAAAAAAGTCAATATCAAGGTCAATCATCATGAGCAAATGTGTTCGGATAAATAAATTGAGAATAAATATACGAAGGATTGCCTTTGTGGATTCCTGAAATACTCCTACATCTACGAAAAATATTAATTTTGAGTAAAGTATTTATAACTCAACCAATATTCATTATTTTTAAGCCAAAAAATACGACTCTTAAATTAATGATTATTCCTTAAGTTTTGTTATTAATTTTTTGTATTGACCCTGTCTTTTTCATATGGAATAAGGACAAAATATTAAATAAATAAATTATATACATATATATAATTAAACAACAAGCCAAGGCGACAGTTTTCGTCTAAAAAAACATCCTTTTGATCAAAATATTATATTTTATTTGTTTGTTCAAAAATAATGATTTTGATTGACTTGTAAAGTAAAACTCAATATTAATCATTATATATTATATATTATCTAATTTTTTTGAATTGCATCCAAACCGGTTAGTTGTATGAAAAGTTATCAACGTTTCCTATAGATGAATAAAAATCAGGTATAGGAGATTTCACTGTGGGGCTGGCTGGCTTGACTGTAGCATTCTCTCTTGTTGAACTTGAATTTAAAATATAAAAAATATTGGGGAACGTTGCTGAAAACGTGTTGGAGTGCCGAAACACTTTAAAGTTATTTGGTAACACACAAACATTTTTGAGGCCATGTGTGTATTGGGTGTAAAAGGATATTGCCTCACAACAAGAACAGGAAAGTAGCAGGAAAGCAGGAGTTAAAAACATGGAAAAACTTTAATATGAGGCCTTTAATTACGTGAAACTTTTAACACATTTCGCACTTGGCATCAAAAATGCAAAAAGGCCCTGCAAGGCTTTGATGAAGGCGACAATTGTGTAAATTATATTTAATTGCTACTCCTTGTGTCTATAAAAGAGAGCCTGGTCTGTTGTTCAGTTCGCATAACGGAACCGTCACTGGAACTATCGGCATCAATGGATTGTCAAAGCAACGAACATTTTCGCATCACCTGGCGAGTATGGAAAATCTTCGGAGCAGTTAATATCAATGCCAGAAGGTTTGGCATTTCCGCCTTTTTAATTAATATGCTCTTCACCGTCGGGTTTCCCACAGTCCTGGGTATGGTTATGTTCAGCTTTGATACGCCGCTCGAGAATGCTACCAACTTCTACATAAGTGTCACCTCATTGGCAACCTCATTGAAGTTTGGTCTCTATGCTTACCAGCTACACAAGCTGTTCGAAATCGAGTCGATTTTTAGAGAATTGGATAGCCGCATAGTTGAGGAACAAAAACCCTTTGCCGAGATGATGCACAAGCGCATGCGTCTCGTGACCAACATATTCAAAGGGATCTACAGCAGCATTTTAATAAACTCGGAACTGTCGTTCCTGTTTCGTGGCGAACGGACACTGCCGTTTCCTGCCTGGTTTCCACTCGACTGGAGCGAATCGCTGATCAATTACAGCCTAGCTCTGCTATATCAGCTGGGCGCCATATTTGTGCAAATAGGACAGAATTTTGTGGATGACTTGTTCCCACCTCTGGTGCTCTGCCTGATTGCCGGTCATTGCGAGTTGCTGATTATACGTGTCTCTAGCATAGGCTATACGAAAGCTGATCATGCCGATAATGATGCGGAGCTAGTAAGGTGCATAGAGGATCAGGAGAAGCTTTACAAGTAAGTATCAAGCATACAACAAAATAGGGGTTATGTATAATTTCGGAAACATCTTCATCAAACTCATATACTTGTACAACCAATCGTTAATTATTTTGGATATTATCAATATACTTGTACAGTAAAAGCTTTCTTGGCCGTAAACACACCGTCGGCCAGCTTTTGTCCGCTCAAGGGGAGTGTGAGCTTAAAGGGATGCTTAAATACTTCACGAGTGGTCTAGAAAAAGTGTCCGCTTAAAAGGGGTGTTCGAATAATATTGTGTTCATTAAGAGAGTTTTCACTGTATATTCTTATTTCCAACTGTTTCTTATTCTATATGTATGATCCCTTTCAGATTACTGCTGCTTTCCATGGATATAATTTCGCTGCCCATGCTGGTGCAATTCATTGTGACTGGCGTGGATATGGCAGCCGTTATGTTTGCCTTGGTTTTTTTTGTGGAGGACCTTTCGGGTCGTCTCTACCACATTTCCCTCTTATTCGCGCTCCTTTGTCAAACCTTTCCCATTTGCTTCTTCGGAACTAATTTAGAGCATTGCTTTAAGCGTTTGCACTATGCTAGCTTCTGCAGCAATTGGGTTTATCAGAGTCGTGTTTATCGCAAGAATGTGATTCTCTTTGCAGAGCGGACAAAACGGCATCCGCGACTATTGGCCGGAGGCATGGTTCCCATTGAACTGTCCACTTTTGTGGCAAGTTGTAAAGCCGCCTACTCGTTCTTTACTTTGATTGGGGATTTTAGCTAATTATACCATGCACATTTTTATATTCATAGTCAAAGCTTGGGAATCAACTTATTTAATATGCAAGTTGTTTCAATAAATGTTCTGTCCTTTTTGATTGCATTCACTATTTTATTGTGATTGACGTAAACCACCAAATATATAATACATATGTTCTAATGAAACCTTAAATTAAACCAATTTCTCAAAATTTAAATAAATACATATTGTGTATAAATATTTAAAAATTTATTTATTTATTTATTTGATTAAACTGATTAAAGAAAATAATAAACCATTGCTATATATGTAATGTACGAAAGAATGCTGCAGTTTGTGTGTGTTATTAAGAACTGGATAAAATAGAGGTCGATATTTACAGAAGGATGCAAAATTTAGTTTATGTAGATATGAAATGTAGACATTGTGGGAAGAGTAAAAAAAGAATTAAATAAACAAGTATTGCTTAAACACCAAGTTTGCTTTGTTGGATCGAACACAACTCTTTCTAGATCCCAAATATATTCGCACATCTCTCCCTTACAATATATACTTGTAAAGAATCTTCGACATAAAGCGTGTGCAATAGAAAAAATAAAGCTGTAAATGTGGCTAAAAAAGAATTAATTGTTTCCGGACCGCAAGGCGTATTAGAGGACCAAGGTATAATAAGTCCAAAGATATTATATGAATAAAATTGTCAGCTATTCGAAAAGACCAATATGCGTATTCAACAATACTCAGTTAAATCCTCTAATCAATTTTATTTTGTGATTGTAATTGTTATTCAATAAACTAATTACTATCGATTGGCATTGGACGGCAAGACTGTCTATTTGTATTATATACATAGCTTGTTTACTTTGTTTTGTTTCCCACTTAAATCCCAGCTTACTTTAATATATAATACAAGTATTCTTTAAAAAAATGAACAGATTTTAAAGTTATCGTCCAAGCCACGGTTGGTAGTTAATCTGAATATTTTAGATGCTAATTTTGTGAAAAACAACAACAATAACACAAACAGTCGGATATATACATAGGTATCTAGCACACATCATAGCACATATACGTACATATGTATATTACATATGCTTGAACATTTGAATTGAAAGTCCTTTTTGGACTTTGGTTAGACTTTAGTTTAATGCACTATTCTGTTCAAATTAAAAGTGCAAATTCAACAATTTTTGAAGCTTCTCATAACTGTGCTTTTAATTTCTGTGCAAACTTTTATTGAAGTTACTTTTGTGATTTCAGCGATGCATGGGTGAAGTAATGTTCATGCTTTTATTGTTGCACACAATATGGAATGTGTCTGATGGTGGGGGAGGGATCGGCAAGGGTGGTTTTGTGCCAAACCCGTCATGGATGAGTGCGTCCATGTATTAGCATATGTGTGCCACATCTATATACATCTATATACCAATTTGTGTGTCTGTGTGTGTGTGTGTTTGTTTTTGCAACAATGGCAAAAGTTGTTCAACATGAAACGTCCGTCAACTGTTGCCAAATCGGATGCAGAAAAGCCAACATGTCTCTATTTCCCATTTCAACAGCAGCCAACTGCAAAACTCATAAAAATGAACAAAGAACGTGAGTCAGTGAGTGAGTGGATGAATGAATGAATGAATGAATGAGGCATATAGGATGCAGCATTGCAACATAAATGCAGTCGGCCTGAATGGTTGGTTAGATGTGGGTGCACAGTGGACCATTCTCGTTACTGCCGCTCGAAATGAGAAGCCATTAGAGATTCCTTTAATAAGCGTTAATCTTAAAGGAATAATGTGATTATTTTAAAATATTTAATACCTATTTAATAAATTCATTTACGATAAAGTATAACTTTATAAAATAAGTTTTTCATTTTTGTTCCGCATTAGATTGACGATAATACATTTTTTGAATATTACTAATAACAAGTTGAAATTTTAAATCAATGTTTTTTGATATGCTTTCATGTATGTACTTATTTATGATCTAAAAAGAATTCCTTATATTTTAAACTAAACCTTATACTTATAATCGAAACATGTATGGGTGCTTATCGAATGTAAATAAATGTTTCTATAATTAAAAGGAATTTTAATCCGTCAAGAAAATTTCGTGGACTAATTTTAAAAGACTTTGGAGATTAAAGCTGCAATTCAGTTTAGTTTTTTTATAAGTAATACTAAAGTTCACAGATTTAGAAAATGTTAAATATCTAAAATAAAATATAAACAAGGAATGTATGTAAATGGCAATATATATGAAATATTTTTGTATAAATTGTTATAGCTTTTCCCGGGTATCGTCAGCAACATTGGGGACTATTTGTATCCAACCAATTTCCCTTTCAGCTTTGTAACGCTTTACGTTTATAGTACATAATATAATTTCGTGGTCAAGTTACTCGAGATAATAATAAGATCGTTCGGAACGACGATTATACGTTAGAATTGGTACACTTTCGTAGTTCCTTTTCAACTAGGCCCACCTTTTTATACCCTGTACCCGTAGGGTAAAAAGGGTATATTAGGTTTGTGCAAAGTATGTAACATACAGAAGGAAGCATCTCCGACCCCATAAAGTATATATATTCTGATTCAGCATGACGAGAGAAATCGATCTAGACATATCCGTCCGTCCGTCCACCTGTCCATCCGTCTGTCCGTCCGTCTGGATGAACGCAAGGATCTCAGAAACTATAAAAGCTAGAATAACCAAAGTTGGCATCCGGATTCTCCTAGGTGCGAGAAAGGACGAGTTTATTTTTTTTTTTTTTAATTTCCCCCCCCTTCCCCCGCTACAGAATTTCCTCAATAGCGTCTACATTTCAAATGCTACCTAAACCAAACTTTGCACACATAATTTATATACAATTATATACTGTTGTTTAAAAAATTTTATTCAATTCAGTCAATTCTAAGAAAAGTTATTAGCGAAACAAATTCTCGCCAGTACAACCCCCCAAACTGCAGCAACAAGTTCGCCCTTCTTCTTCCTCTTTTTGCTGCTGCTATGGGCGCATATACCTCAGTGTCTGAAGTTTACCTGGGTACAGGGTATTACACTGTCGGGCTTGCTCGACTGTAGCGTTCTCTCTTGTTATGATTGCTAATTGTACAATGTAAAAAATTATTTAAAGTAAGATTAAGTTTATTGTTTTAATTATTTGTTTCGTTTACTACTTAATTTAATATTTAAGTCTAAATGCAGTTACATTTTATCAATAGTTTTATGCTGAAGGAGCTTCCAAACGCGGAAGCACTTTAAAGTTATTCGGAAACAAAAGCATGAGTGCGTGCGTATATTGTTGGAGGAAGGTTTTGACTGACAACAAGGATAGCAGCTGCTTCAGGAAGGCAACAGGAAAAGCAGGAGTTGAAAACATTGCATGTGCACAAAATTGTTCTTCCTCTTTGTGGAGAAACTTTCGTATGGGCCCGTTAATTACGTGTAACTTTTAACACATTTCGCACTTGGAATCAAAAATGCAAAAAGGCCCAGAAAAACTTTGAAAAAGGCGACAATTGTGTAAATTATTTAACTTAAATGCTTCTGGCTTGTGTCCAAAAAAGAGAGGTTCGTCTGCTGTTCAGTTCGCATAAAGTTAACGTCACTGGCAGTACAGGCATTAACGGATGGCAGCAGCAACAAATATTTTTGCAACACTTGACGAGCATGCTAGAAGCTCCTGGATTTTATTCTTGGATCTAAATTCGTGATCACCGAAAATTCCATCGAAACTGTGCGTGAATTCATCAAAAATCAGCCGAAATCATCATTGAAATTGATGGAAATGGAATTGAACATCTCCAAAACATCGATTTATCGCATTTTCACCGAACATTTGGCCTTACGAAAGGTGTGTGCACGGTTTGTTCCTCACAAATTGACTGACGACCAAAAATTGCTCAGAATCGATTATTTGACCAAAAATCACAATTTAACCATTAACCACTCACCGTATTCACCTGATATGGCACCGTGCGACTTCTACCTTTTCGGAAAAATGCATTTGCCCATGAAAGGAAAGCGTTATGCAGACGTAGAGGCTATTCAAAAGGCTTGCACCGGCGTACTGGCGGCCATACCGACCAACGAGCTAAAACACTCGTTCGACATGCTTTTGGATCGTGTTTTGTTTTTTTTTTTAAAAAAGTCCTCTTTGCTTTGGAGCACACCTTGTATTATATTCAGAAACGGTCTAAGTGAAGTTTGTGCAGCGAAATCGAGTTCATATTTGAACGTTGGAGTAGTCCTATAGATGAAGTCAAGTTCTGGTTTGAGAATCGTAAAATATTAGAAAAGAATTTTGATCAAACTAGAAAGGGGCTGGAGCGGGCTGGCTATAATGCTGAACTTATAAGGATTTGGAAGATCTGTGAAGGTAAGTTCTTACCTACATTTTAATACAGCGATGCCTCATATTTGCAATTCAACTGATCGTTTCAATTGCAGCCATATACTCGTAAAATTATGCCATACAAGATAATATGTAGGTCGTGCAGCTGAAAATAATACTATTTTATTTTTATAAAATCACATTTATTAGTTCTATTTCTATTTTTTCTGAAAGATAAATTGTTCTATTAAAACACATTAATAATTTTAATAAGCATTCGATTTATTTATGTTAAAAAACGTATATTTTATGGCACTACATAGTGCAGGCAACCCAAGCTTGTCTGCTGTTTCTATAAAAAAAACTGCAAAATCTGTTAACGTTGTAAAAAACTCTTATTGGAATATTAATTAAATATTGAGTTACTTCAACATTTTTCGAACCCGAACACGTTCACTGGGAAAAGCTCTTGGAAAATATAAAAACGAGCCACTGTGGACGGATGGCCCTGGGCATGTTATTGTTTACTTCAGTCATTTGTTGCAGCTTCTGTAGCTGCTGGTTTCGTTGCTAATTGGAAGCACATGACAATGTGATTGTGCAGTGCATCGCAGAGTTTTTGCTTTTCAATTAGCGTCCATCAATCCATGGGTGTTTTATTTTGCAAAATGCCTACTCGTACACGCATCAT